GACCAAGACAGGCCACTTCAAATATGAAAAAATGAAGTTAACACACTGGTAGTGGTGTGTGTGTGTATGTCAGTGATTATAACATGGTGAATATTTTTGCAAGGCACCTTAAATATGTATGAAGAATTGAAACAATGTTAATTGTTAAATTTAGAAATTGTGCCAATATATGTTTCAAAAATAAAAATCCACAGAGCCTGAAGGTTAAACTATCATTTTATCTAAATAAAAATTAAAACACCAAAGGTTTATACTTCTTATGTTGAATGAACTTTCATCACAACCTCTTTTTCACAGAAATACTATATAAATTGAGATTTTCTCCTTGTACTATAGTTTTTGAATTTTGTTGTACTTTTTAATTAGTCAACCAACCAATCAGTCAATCACACAGTAATGGCATTTTTAAACTTGTAGGAAGCTGATACTCTGGGAATAAAAAGATACATTTCAGTACATCACAGATTCATCATTCTTCAGGGATACTGCAGGGGGAGCAGTCTGGTAACTATTGAATCCCCTTTGGGCATTAAAAAACATTGCAGCATTGCAGTCTGAGTTGACAGATAACAAGAGAAGCTGTGAATTAAGGGCTATGTTAATAATTAGTCATTACTCAACCAATGATCCATGTTAGAAATCTAACTGAGAGTGTACAGATCAAAATTATTAATATCACAAACTGAAAAATAAAAGACTATCTGTAATCGCGCTGACAGGTATTTATGTAGGAAGTAGGATAAATAAGCATCTTTAATGGTACCTTTCAGTTTATGTTTTCAAGCTTTTCATTCTTAATTGACTAATTATAATTATTGAGATCTATTTCACATACTTAGGAGTGCTTGCCTGGAATACTATAGAGTTAAGCCTTTTTTACTGAATTATATTGCTATCGGTTCTATGGTACCTGGGCAATTATTTATTGTCAAAGGATACCAGTCTTGAAAAAAATCCCAAAGGAATGGATGAAGTTTGCAGGATCCTTCACATATAATGCTGACTTGGTTTTCACAATCCTTCATGTACTCCTTAAAATACTGTACACTGAAATTCTGAAACATTATTTATAGTATTGGTGTCAAACTGCCAATAATATATATATATATGACACACAAGGCAACATCAGTGCATTTATTTTCAAGCACAATTGTGCATCGTTATTAAATATGATTATGTAATGTTTTGCTCTGATAATCCAAGTGACACTAGACATTATTGAAAAAACAGTGGTCCCAAAACAACAGCTGATTGGATTGAATGCTGAATTTAATTTTATCCAGGCTCTGCTTCGTCAGCAGTAAAAGCCAGCTGTCTGCACTTAATTACCACATATTGGCGATTTAAAATGTATATAAAAAAGAATAATTTTTTATACTTCCCCAATTTGGAATGTTTTCCACAGTCTTGGCTTGCAGAGAAGAACCCTGCTACTGTTCACATGGGAGAATGAGGAGGCTGCAGGGGTCAGTGTGTCACCCCAGAGTCAAGAGAGCCCTGGCTGTCTAACCCTGCCCTACACATGATGGTTCCTAGCCAATTGTACGCCACCACTTGGGGAATGTCAGTCACAGTTTGCTAATGACATAATGCAGGCTTGAACACATGATCACAGAGCACAGCCTGCACTCGAGCAAGTGTCTTTATCAGTTGAGCCCCAGTTGCTACATATTTTTAAATTGGAATTGATACAAACAAAAAGCTCTAATGAAAAACATCTTGTGCATTATAACTCATGCTTAAAATATCCAAATAATCTCTTATAATTGATGTATTATAAAATAATATCCTCTTAGAACAAATCTTTTTCCTTCTTTCACAAAAATCACTTTTTCATTTCAGTGTTATATTAAAATCTAAAATACTTATAGCTCATTTAAAAGGAAATCAATAACTGACTTCAGGTGCCTTACTGTATACATTTACCATCAGCTGCAATCACAGTTAAAACATCCGTATATAATATAATTAAATAAATGCAAAGGAACAAGTAACGGTTTATTGCATGCTGAAAAGAAAAGAGACACAATGTTTCAGCTGTGGAGCCGTCTTCAGGTGGAATAAACCTTTAATGAAATAAGCCCACACCTGAAGAAAGCTCCACAGCCAAAACATTGTGTCTCTTCTCTTTTCACCGTGGAATAAACCTGTACTGTACTTGTTCCTTTGCAGCCTATGCATGTAGACACAGCTCCTTACTTGAACTAATTAAATAAATGTTGTGGTAAATATGTTGTATTTGAATTTTATTATAGAGATTCTAATGTTTTCTCGTACACACAATTCATAACAGCAACATTTCAGGAAGAGTGAATTGAATAGTTTTTCCCAATCATGATCCTGGAAGTATCCCTGTGTCTTCTGCACTTAACCAAGTTCTAAATCATTAAACTTATCGAATCTTTAATTGATTGGTCAACTGTTACTCTGCAGCATTTCAAGTGATATAGTGAGTGTGATTCAGTTTCAACTTAAACATTTCAAATTGTTAGCCTACAGGTTTCTGAACAACTGATACTGTGTGTCAATCAATGATGTATAAAAGTTGGAATGACTCTGTCAAACATTCTAGTAATTAGTGTTCCAAGTACTACACGGGCTTATAAGTAAATTTAAATCAAATCAATGAAACAATAAACCTATCTGAGAAGAACACTGAAACACAGACTTTATGCTAATTTGTAAATTCAATCACAATGAAAACCAGAAGACACAAGGGTACTCGAGGATTAAGACTGAGAAAACTTGCTAGTACTAAAAAACGACATCCTAATTTAAACAGAGTACTGAAATTTAAACTCAATATTAGTGCATATGCATATTTGTCCTCCATTAGGTCTGGCCTGGTAATTGGTTTTTAGGACCAATTACCTTTCATTTTTACTTGACAGTAAGTCTGAAAGGCCCCGATTAATTGATTTTAACTTGTTTTCCCCCCATTTCGTCAACATTTTGTTTCAAGTATAAATACACTGAAATAATTCATTTTAAAACAGCCTGTGTATATGCAAATTAACTCCTCAACTTCAACTATCCACTGCCAGGTCAGTGAAATGATGCGTATAGTTACTTTTCATGCAAACAATTTGACCTATACTAGTTATCACATAATGGTAGCTATACTGTATAGAGCTTGGTGACATGAAATGTCTGATTTTAAATGTCCCTTTGTTTATTTTGTATAACTGATGGCAGAAAGTACCATTCAGGAGATGCTTAAAAAAAATTCAGTGGAAGAATGTAACAAAGGTTGTTTCAATATTGTTTCCACTGCATTCACTTACTAGGCTTCTGGTTGGTTCTTCAAAAGCAGGTTCTTTTAGGTAGTGTTGATTGAAGCTTAAATTTTATTTAATGAGTGTCAAATTTTATATTACCCTTGTCCTACACAGCTCTCACATTAGCAACATTTGTTTGTTGTTTACTACCTTTCCCATTACAATAAAATGACATCTGCAAGAAAGTAAATTGTTGGAATTATTTTCTTTAAATAATTAAACATAACACCAAGTTAATTAAGCATGACTACATCATTTTAGCAGCAAACCCAACACCTTATCAAATGCAATTGCCTCCATCCACAAAACTCCTGCTGCTGATAAAAGCTCATTTTAACACAGAATGTAATTCTATCAAATTTCTTTCTGCAGATTTATGCAAAACTGGATTTTTTTTAGATGTAACAATAAACGAGGAAATAACTTCATTCAACATAAACAATGATACAACTATTATTAATGTATTACCTACCTGTATCAATATATTAATTTGATTTAAAAGCACATTTTAAAAAGATATTCAGAATATTTCAAATACAAACACATAAAAACACATTATAAATTAACTCTGTATGTGGATCTCAAAGTGCAAAACCTCCACTTTAATGAGACCTTTAATATTTAAAGATATAATGAGCTTTAATATCTAATATATTTTGCAGTTCTGTTTTATTTTCAACTTATGTTTAGCAGATGACAACTCTTTTGCACACTCAATACCAATAATACTTATCTCAGTTTCATGACACCTTTGAACAAAGATTGCAGAAGATGTATGTGTTATTTAGCATTACTATTTCTTGCTGGTATGCACTATCTAAAAAATACAACCTAGTTCAGTGTAAAATCATTAGTCTGAGCTCTGGCTAATGGAGAATTATCCTGTCTTAAGTAGCAGCACTCAAGTTCCACAATTCCACATGAGTTCTGAAGCCATTAGCAGAAAGAATAGCTATTTTGTATTGGGTGCTTTTTCACATTTACTGCGTAAATGTATGCAAAGTAGTTAGGATGGAATATCCCTGTGGAGACAAACACTGCTAAAACAAATCAATTTGCATCTTTTTCTACTCTGATGCTGCAGAACAAGATTCTCTACTCTTTGCCATTTAGTGAGTCAGCATCTAAACTGACAGTAGAAAACTGAGTTGTTTGTATTCCAGAACAAATTTGGTGTATAATAATAAAATTGTAACAATATTAAATTAATTCACTGACTGCGGTGTTTTAAAATTAGAAACCTTTAGAGAGAAATAGTTTCATCTATGTATTGTATGTAGACACTCAAACCCCAGTTAAATAATAGCTGTTTCTGAAAATCAACACATACCTTGATTCAGGGGGGGAAAAAAAGTGTTTACCTGTTTTTGTTTTATGGATTGCTTTCATAAAGTTGTTTATAATGTAAACTTTGATAACTGAACATTTTGAGACTATTCTAGAGCACACTATGCTCTTTATGACAATTGTATTAGGATGTAGTTTTGGAAAGTAATCTATAAAACATTCTGTAGAGTTTAAAGCATTGGTTTCAACAAAATTATAGCTTATTAGATCTAATGTGTATATTTGTCTTTGCGCTATTGAACAACTTACATCACATTGTGTTGTACTTATAAAAAGTAAGATTTATTATAAAATATAAAGTAAAATTCTAGCTTATGTGCTAAATGTAACAGAAAGAAATGACTCTTTACAGCCAGCCAGAATGTCTACATTTTATTTCTGTTTTTATAGTTTATTTGAACCCATTAAGACATAATTTTAAAGAAAGCTATTGCTTTGTAATTCATATTATCTGTTGAACTTCATGGTTCATCACGCTTTGTCAATAAGGAAGACTTTCTCAATACATTCGGACATGTTTATGGGCAATCCAGATGGGTTAAGTTAGTCATTTTACAAACTTCAACAATTTTCCACTGACTTCTCATGGACAATTTGTTCTTATACATTATGTGTACAAAAGGTTGTAAATTTATTGGTGTTTATGTGTAAAAGTACCTCAAATTTGTTGTATATTGTGAAACTGTACAGAACAGTGTCCAATGGAAAACCCTGAAGAAAATGCCACTTAAGAAATGCGCAAGATATTAGACTGTGTCCAATACTCAACAGTCAAACAAAGGACTGTATTGCATTTTGTTTACCATAGCATGTTCTTTACCAAGTTAAAGAAAATAAGGATTTCATTACAAATGTTGTTTTTGTATTTTGCCTGAATGTAAGTCTACCAGCCCAAATCATTCTTTACCAGCGGATTTTAACCTATAAAGCTAAATGAAAAAACGCAATTACACATTTTCTTTTCAGAATACATTTTATCTGCTTTTATTTATGTTTGCAAATTAAAATATAATAAATTAACATTTTCTTCTAAAAAAAATTTGTACAAAAATACTGTCAAACTTTCCTAGAAAGCTTCAACACAGTAGTATTGCCTTGTACCGCATAAACTAAATAAGCACAGTGGTGGAAATTTTGATAACCAAAGATGCAAAATAAAAAGGGAAAAAAACACCTCTGTAAAATGTTCTTCCTTAACTTGTCAACATTCCACATCATTTTATTGTCTCTTCACATAAAAGAGTGGGGGAGGGTGGCACATTTTTAAGAAAGAGTATCCTTTTCCATGGCCTGACAAGTCTCTTCTTACTCCCTTAAAGACACAGTATCCATTTAGGCTTTACACTGACTCTTCTAACCTTAACATTTGGCAATTCAAATTATTTAAACTTCCACAGAAATTCAGGAACTGAAAAATTAAAATTCAGGGCACCGACATCAGTGATTCTAGTTCAGCATCAAAGCAACAGGACATTTTGCAAACTAGTTTGTGTGCAAAAAGCATTATCTTGCAATTTTCTCCCTTGATAATCAGACAGATCATTTAACAGCACAAATATCTGATAAATATATGGCCACTAAATTGTACAGTATATTACTGTCTTTAACAAATACACAGTACCTGCCTACAAGCATGTTTAATAATCACATAATTTAGTATATGCTTCATTTAAATTTATATTACTTTAACACCTCTATAAAAATGTTTAAACAAACGCAGGAAAATAAATATTTGACCTACCACAGCATTTTTTAAGATTTCGTTTATTCTTTGCACAAAGCAATTGTGCAGTTAACTACGAAGCTACCCGCTTGCTTTTGGGTCTTCTGTGCTACCTTCTTCATTTTTCCAAGTACAAAGTTGAATTAACTCATAATGCATAGCATGAACTTGGAAACAAACCAGAAAAGTCCCTTGCAATGGTAGTGCACTCACAAGTCATACCTCTCTCCTTGGAAGAAATGATGATCCATAGCACAGACCTCTAAATTTTAGAGGCTTAAATCAGTAAAAATACGTAATTCAGCAGAACTCTTAATCCACCCTGAATATTTAGATTAATTGGAATTCCAGACTGATGCCATTTGATACACAGGTTAAAGAAATCATGTTAAAAAGGAATGTATAAATGTCTTTCTGAGGAAAACAAAAGTAAGACGAGTCCTTATGGTGAGACTAACAGCTCACTCTGCTTGGTTGCTGTTTGCAAACAAAGTCTGTCATGAAATCAAACTCATTTTGTCCCAGCCACAGCTCTGGCAGTTCCTTTATTCGGTCCAATCCCATTTCTATGACTAAAGACATCAAGACCTCCTCATCAATAAAATCCGTGTCTATGACATTGGGGGGCAGTATTGCTGCAGGCACATGGTGCGCTGGGGGAGGCATACTGGAGGTGCTATGTTTTGGGTTGCAGTCTCTGAATTGCTGTCCTGTCCCGTTCATCTGGTGGTTTGACGAATGTAGGTCTGACATATAGTGATGATGAGAGGGGTGAGGGTGATGGGTGTAATACTGCGTGTTGAGCTTTTGCAATTGCATGCTTGCTGCTAGCTGTCCTTGAGTGCTCACGGCGGGTCCCACATATTGCGAGCTGTATCGTGCAGAAGGGGCCAGGCTGCTGTTAGGGTGGACACCAGTCACATTTCCGGGTCCCATAGAGTGTCTAACGCCGTGGTTAGAGTTCACATTTCCCCCTCCGTAGTGCAAATGTTCACCCATTAACCCGTTGTACCCATGCTGCTGCTGCTGCTGCGGCGGCGGCTGCTGCTGCTGCTGATGGTGAAGAGGGTTAGAAAACTGTCCCATCGCCATCCTGCGTGTGGGATGGTGAGGGTGAATGCCGTTTGCAGATTCGCTGAATCTTCCGTGGTTCATGGACATCATGCGGTCAGCCATTCCTTCCTTCTATGACACATAAAAGCGAAGTTTTAAAATGATGCACAAAATCCGAGGACTACTCTCGTCACATGCACAACATTAACTTCCAACTCGTTCCCATTGTCACTGTCATTCTCATTAAACCTAACTCCGCAGCACATGTGAATTGCTCTGATAAAAGACTGGCATAGTCTTGAGGTTAATGTGAAGGTGCTGCCTTTCAGGCATTCGTGTAATCCATATATTCTTTAATAATAACAACTCCGAATTGAAGACACGCTGTCAGAATTGTTTACCCAACCGTAACTCATTTGCTAACAAGGGCAAAAAGAAACGGAAATAATTTGCAATCATTAGACGTGCACAAAAAATATAAAAGCACGTAAGTTACCTACAGATATTTTTTAACAAAAAACGATACAGTCACGAAACAACTCTTCTATTAAGCTAGTTTTTACTGAGAAAATAACCCCAGGGATTTGAAACTGTATAGTTCTTACCTCAAGGGCTGTACCTTTTTACTTCGTTTCCCCCGTTTTACTGTCCGCACGATATGATAAAGTACACCGATTTCAGTTACTGCACGGAATCTGTATTCCAAGTCATAGAGCCCAGCAAAGCTTTCAGATATAGACACACGCTCCCAACCTCTGTCCAACAAATGAGAATTGCTCAAATCGCCTGTGGTCACTGCTGATATACAATCATACAGGGGCGGAGCCACGGCAAACCTTGAAACTGACGAGGGAAAAATCTGGATGCAGGATCCTGTAAAAACATGGAATAGTCTCACGCTTCTGTCTACTGCGTTAAGCAGAGTTTATTTAGCAACATTACCTAATGGCATCTTAATTTCTGTTGTTTATGGTGAAAAAGGCAAAGTGGCACAACTGATTAAAATACACTGAATCCAAGTTTTTCTTATCGATATTTGATTTTTACTAGAATGTTACTTATACCTTACTCACTCATTAAATGCAAATCAGAAAAAAAACATACATTAAGATAACTGCCAAATGCGTTTCTGCTAAATTATGCTAGCGATTGCTTAAAGGTGCAAAAATTTTATGTAGAAAATTTACACGCTACAATGTATTAATATGCCATGATTACTATATATTTTAAGAGGTCAACATGCAAACGAAGAAGACGTACACACTTTGAACATCTGAAACAAAGCACTAAGCACCGGAAAGGCTGAGCTGAGCTGTTAGAAAACATATCGTCAACAACATTAACACAAGTATAACTGAGCTGACATGAGCCACGACTGAGGAGAGCCAAATTTAACATTATAAAGAGCCCTTCACTAACACCCTCTCTGCAGGACATTTCTCAGCTCCGCGTTTTGTATGCAGCCTATTCCTTTTGCAGACGTGCGCTCTCTCGAGTTGACAGTGTTCAGCTCCCGTAGCTTTGGCATCTGAGCTGGAGCAATATAGGCGTTTCTTCTCACAAATGCTCCCAGCTTCACCCTAGAGGTGGCTACTGACTTACACCAGTATATTCCCGTAGCTGGTCCACAGGGTGCGAGCTCGGCTTCCCTTTACATGCCCTCTAAGGGGCTTGCCGAGGCCTGATCAGGCTTGTGATTAACCGAGTCACTTTGGAAATACATTAACTGTGGGAACACCTATTTAAAATCACAATGCTAAGACAGAGTGATGGCTGCAAGAAGGACTTACACTGGAAAAAAAGCCAAAACATGCATGGAATTTATTATCACTGATTATCTCTTACACTGTAAACTTTTTACTGTAAATTTTATTCTTTACTCAGCAGTTTATTAGGTGACCCCCGCATTGTTTTAATACACCATTTCGTGGCGGTAATGTTGACGGTGATTAATAAGTACATCTTATATCCCTTGGAGAGACACTCTACGCCTTAATCAACAGTGGCAAATCGGATGAAAGGGGACCTTATTGACCCTCCAGGAAGGTAGTTGATTATCCTGGAATGCACTTTACTAACCCACCTATGGACGGTTTCCTCTGTGACCTTTTACCCCGTATTGGCTTGCTTAAAGGCATAAAATATGTGTACGTGATAACACGTCAAGAGTAGGGTAATAACATCAGTAAAGGCTAAACGTGTACTGATCACTGTAACGATCAATCGTTTGCAAATAACTGCACTACAGCATACGATTAACAGTGGTACAACACGTGTACAGTAAGTAGCGCGAAAATAATTGCAGGACATTTCAGACATAACGGTTCACTTTAGTGGAGGCTCCCATTGAGCTTAATCAATAATAATCTGATCCTTTGGCTTTCATTTGGAAGATGTTGAAGAGGTACATTTGTGGCGATTATTTTATCCTTCTAAAAAAAAGAAACATTGTTAAAAGTGTTACTTGACCCTATGAACTGAAAAGATAGGGTTAAGTAACACTTTTAACAATGTTTTCCCCTGCAGACGTGAGGTGCGGAATGTACCCACAGCGGAGAACAAACAGCGTGTCTGCATGTTCTGAACACTCAAGTGCTGAGTTGGACAGTATGAGAGAGGGAGGGGTGTACCGGGGTAGACAGGCTTTAGTAGCTACTGATTTGCATTAAAATATAGTACACAAATTGGTAGAGAGCAGTGAATTTTCTATTAAGAATAATCTGGTAATTCTTTTACCGAAGATAAATTATAGTTTATGTATTTTGTTATTCTCTCTTTTAGTCACATGAGTTAAAATGTAAATAAAAACGTAAAGATGTTTTTTCAAAGGGTAAATAAAAAAAAATCAAATTTACCTCCAGATTCTGCTTTATTAGACACAAGAGACAAGTTATTAAATTTCAAATCTGGAAGTTGTAGTAGATAGATCAGACTTTATTGATCCTAAAGGGAAATTGAGGTGTTACAGCAGCCCAGCCCAAGACAAGCAAAAACAGTCATAAGAATAGACTACAAATTATAATAAGTACAGTAATACAAAATAAAATAGATTTAGGTGTGTGCAAAATATGCTAATAGTAACTGTAAAACAATAAAATATGTGCAAAATGTGCGTAGGTATATACAGATTGAAAGTACCACAGCATAAACAGTATATTAATGCAGTGTCCAAAAAGTACATTAGTGCAACATGCTGTCCATAGATGAGCAGATGAAGGGCTAACAGCCCTAGGCTAGGGCAGTGATATACACCTTGAAAGCCGCCGGGAGGAAGGACCTACGGAAACGTTCCCTTGAACACCATAGCTGGAGCAGTCTTTTACTAAAAGTGCTCCGCTGTTTCTACTAACAGTCTCATGTAGCGGATGAGAGCCGTTGTTCATGATGGCTGTGAGCTTGGTCAGCATTCTCCTCTCAGCCACCACCTCCAGCGTGTCAAGGCTCAGCCCCAAAGTAGAGCCAGCCAAAGCTGAGCCAGTTTATGGAGTCTATTTTCATCTCTTGCCATGATGCTGCTGCTGCCCCAGCACACAACAGCGTAGATTTGAAGAGGGGTGCTTCCACCACTGATTCATAAACAATGTATAGCAGTGAGTGGTTTAGGGGTTTATTTACACACTGCAAGGTCATAGTAGATGAATTATTGAACTTCTAAGTATATTTTTAGGTGTGGAAAATATAATACAATTTTAACAAAGGGGAATTAAGTCAGGATACGCAGTTCAAGGCAGTCAAGTTTGCAGGTATATCACCCTTAAACTCACAACTGGCAACCTACTGAAGCTAGGCAGGTGTGAGCCTGGCCAGTACCTGAATGGGAGACCCCCTGGAAAAGCTAAGTTTATTTGTTGCTGGAAAAGGTGTTAGTAGGACCAGTAGGGAGTGCTAACTCTGTGGTCTGTGTGGGTCCTAATGCCCTAGTATGGTGAAGCAGACAATATGCTGTATAAAAAGGCATATTCGAATGACACATAAAACCGAGGTCCTGACTCTCTGTACTTGTTAAAAATTTAAGGGTGTTTCTCGAAAAGAGTAGGGGTGTTACCCTTGTGTCCTGGCCAAATTTCCCCTTGGCCTTTACCAGGCATGGCCTCCTAATAATCCCCATTGATTAATTGGCTTAATTACTCTGCTCTCCTCCCCACTGATAGCTGATGTTTGCCTGCCATCGCATCATCCAGGTGGGTGGTGATGGACAGGAGTTCCCATTACCTGTAAAGTGCTTTGAGTGGAGAGTCCAGAAAAGCTTTATGTAAGTGTATATATAACAAACTGACTTGGTTTCAGTAACATGCTTATGCTTTCTTCTGCTGCTAGTTTATTAAAAAGTAACTGTGGTTGCAGAGTACCTCAAATTTGCAAAAGATCTGGATCTGGATGTAAAGTATGCTGGTATCCCTTTGAGAAACTGCCCATTAGAGGTGTAATGCATGAAAATCTTGTAAGGAAGTGTAGAAGAGTTACACAAATGTAGAGAAATAGAAACACTAAAATTAATTAGCCTACAGTATATCAAGCTGTTGATTAACCTTATAATTTTTAATTTTTATTGTATCCTTTATATGTTTAGTAGTAATGGTGATTAAAGATGTAGTAGTTATTGTTGCCTGAGCTCATTAGTAAAATCCTTTTCAGCAACAATGACGGAAAAAAGTTTTTTTTGTGTGAAAATGAAAGTGGAAATAAGCTAGCAAGAAGAAGCCTGAAAGTTGTCAAAGTGTTTCAGAGGGAACGATTTGTGAATTGTCTGTGGAACCCCGGTGAGTTGAAAATTGAAAAGAATAAATTGTGGCTGTACATTGCACAAAATGAGTATCTGCGATGAAGTAAATTCATTTGATTTTCCCTGTTCTTGGTGTGTTTTTGTTGGTGTTTCAATTCACTTTGTTTGCATAAAACCACAACCAATCTGATTTATAAGTAGCAATTTTAAAAAGTGAAAAGAAAAATAAGGAGATATTGACATGGTGGGATGAAATTCTGCATCTGACAATGTTATGCTGTTTTGTGTTGATAAGAAGAGTGAAACACCTGTTTGTGGTTGTTGACTTTGACTTGAAGGCAGCATTCTTACCACTTAGCTGTGATGGAAGACCTCTAAGGAAAACCATGTTGCAGCTGCAAGTGGTGTGGGTGGACCAGTAGGAGGTGCCATTGTTTAGAAGATGCATTACATTGCAATCTCCTAACTACTTGGGACGTACAGTTCCATGACACTTTTCCTAAAAGTAGGTATGTTAGTCCTGGTGTCCTGGTTAAATTGAGCTCTGCGCATGAACAATCAGGCTTCCCTAAAATTCTCCCTTAATTCAACTGGTAATACAGCTCCATTTTATGTCACTTTACTACATCTTCCCTAATAAATTTCTTACTTCTCCACCTAAACCACTATGTAGTGGGGTTGCTAGCACAAAATGGCTGCCATGTGTCACCCAGGTGAGAGCTGCACTTCACTTGTGGGTCCTTTCTTATATGTCAAGGGCTTAGGGATTCTTTGGAATAAAAAGTACTATACAAATGGAAGCCCTCACAGTTGTTATACAATCATCAGTTAGCTACTAGTAACAAATACCACAAGCCGAATAGCAGCCTCTTGTTTGTAACCTTTCTCATGTTCCCTTATTCTAATGACAAAGTAAACCCATGCAACAGCATTTGAAGTGAAATAAAAAACAAAGGGCATAAATGGAAATATGTGTTTAAGACTGAGAACAGGAGAAAAGTTTTTACACAAAGGGATGTTAAGGGTCTGAAACGTGTTGCATTGCAGAAGTTATGGGCACTGTTGAAAAAAGTCTGAGAAGAAGAAATACATTGTTTTGTAGCCCTTTTGCAATCATTGAAGGAAGAAGAACGAATAGCAAGGACATTTAGTGACTATACAATGCTGCTTCAAATAATGTAGGAAATCTTTCTTTTTATTCATTTCTTTTTTAAACTTATTTATATGAACGTTAAGTGAATAGGCTTGAAAGGAATTTT